CCCTCACCCTCGCCCCCACCCTCGCCCCCACCCTCGCCCCCGCCCCCGCCCTCGCCCCCGCCCTCGCCCCCACCTTCACCCCCACCCTCGCCCCCGCCCTCACCCCCACCCTCGCCCCCGCCCTCGCCCTCGCCCCCACCTTCACCCCCACCCTCGCCCCCGCCCTCACCCCCACCCTCGCCCCCGCCCTCACCCCCGCCCTCACCCCCGCCCTCACCCTCGCCCCCGCCCTCGCCCTCGCCCCCACCCTCGCCCCCGCCCTCACCTTCGCCCCCACCCTCGCCCCCGCCCTCACCCTCGCCCCCGCCCTCGCCCCCGCCCTCGCCCCCGCCCTCACCCCCGCCCTCACCCTCGCCCCCACCCTCGCCCCCCCCACCCTCGCCCTCACCCTCGCCCCCCCCACCCTCGCCCCCACCCTCGCCCCCGCCTTCGCCCCCGCCCTCACCCTCGCCCCCACCCTCGCCCCCCCCACCCTCGCCCCCCCCACCCTCGCCCCCCCCACCCTCGCCCCCACCCTCGCCCCCCCCCACCCTCGCCCCCCCCACCTTCGCCCCCACCCTCGCCCCCCCCCACCCTCGCCCCCGCCCTCGCCCTCACAGTCACCCTCGTCGCTCGCCCTGCGTCACTTTCTCTTGGCCTCTGCATGACAGCGTGCGGTCGTCCTGCGTGACGGTGACAACAGCGGACTCCTGCTGCTGCTGCTCCTCCTCCTGCTGCTGCTGCTGCTCCTCCTGCTGCTGCTGCTCCTCCTGCTGCTGCTCCTCCTGCTGCTGCTGCGGGATGTTGAATCCACGCAGCCTCGTGCACGGGCAGTCTCCAAAGTTGTCTGGCCACGTGGAAGAGCAGGCAAAAATACCCTCTTGTAAAGGTCTTACCTTACAAGGAAATTAAGTATACGGATACAACTCATGCATATTAACACTGGAGAATTTGCACTGATGGTGCAGTAGTGTACTTGATGCACTGTCATCTATTGGCTGTATCATAGTCGTGCAAGCAGGTTTCACACGCACGGTGATCTCGGCGTGATCCACTAACCCTGTCTGCGAAAGCGGTGCTCCATCTTCCTCGTGGCCACACTGCGTGGTTCACATCGACCCAGGGTCCTGCTGCTGCTGCTGCTGCGAGGTGCCAAGACTTTCATGTTGCACCATAATTATAGTACAAGTCGCTGATTTATCCTGCAAATTCACCCTAGAGTCCAACGACTCGTTTGTTGTGTGGATAATCCTACCACGTATCGCTCTTTATACATGTGGGAGGAAATTGGAGTGCCCGGAGAAAACCCTCTCGTACGATGGGGTACACACACTCTATCCCCCTTACAGATGGAAACTGATGGAGTTTAGTCCACTTGCTGTACTGCCTGGCCAGTCAGGGTTTGACGACCTCGACTCGCACGGGAAGGGAGTTAGGCAACAACATCTGTGTGACTCACCAACCCCTGGCCCACTCCACGGTGTTGGATTACAACCCTTTCCGTCGCCACCACGGCACCAGCCCCACGAGCATGCCGCACACGAGGTCGGCTGAGTACGTGCCGCGTGTAGACGGGGAACTAACGGGCTCGCGTTAATCTCAGATTATGGGCACGCTGTGCGGAATGAAAATGTTATTTTGTGTGCGCCTGGCACGTAGCAGCGTGGACATCTGGCGGAGGATAAAAGTTCACGCCCAGTCCCGTCCCTTTGTGCGATATGCATCCTCTTGGCGATGTGCACACAAACTTATTGTGCTTTGCTGTGGAGTACGTGTGTGTGTGTGTATATAGAGTTATCTCCCTGCACATGTAGATAAAACATGTTTTACCCCATCACTCCATTGGCTTTCCAAACCAATATTAGTTTATTTTGTTTAACCAGGTGGGAACCCAACAGCCCAGGATAGTCTCATTAACAGGGGGTGAACTCGTATGAAGCAGTATTTGTTGAAACAGACTGGACCGGGTTTCACATTCTGGGTCTCATCAGCAGTTGGCCTTATTAATTCATTGCTGAATTACTCGATGTTATTGGTAAGAGCATTTCATATCGAATATGGGACCTTTTTAAACACAATAGCACTGCCATACACAAACTTATTACGCGTTGCTGTGGAAAATATAATAAGAATTCCGTTCTCTCCATATAAACAAATATTTTGTCTTCCATCAGCTGACGGACTATTGGCTTCCCACACTAACATGAACAACTTCGGACTTTTTCATGGTAATGGAATAACATGACGGTTAACATGATTTATCTTCATATTAGTGCAATTGCAATATATATATATGCGTGTAGCATTGTCTCGCTTGCCATGTGCAGAGCCGAGGTGTTGTTGATGACGCAGTCCCGCTCATAGCCAGCATCAACGGCGAATATCTGAACTCGTCTTGAGCCTCTTCTAGGTAGACTCGGCCTCAAATGAATACCCAGCACAGTGTATACGCATCGCCACTGGGAGATGAAGGCATGCCGCACGGCCACGCTGTCCCCTTGTGTGCCATTCTGGCTAACAGCACTTGCCCCAACAGCCTCTGAGGGCTATACAGGGGATCTGTGCCTTTGTGTTTGTCACGCATGCATAAATGAATGTGTACCATTCACTCGTCAATCTAATTATAATCTTAATACTGTCGTGTTTTGTGAGATCTTTCCGAGTGATATTATCTCAGGTGTAAATTAAATCGCAAGAGGTGACTCGCCACGGCTTTTCATTATTGTCTGTAATGTGAATGTGCATTTACTTAAATAATTTTCTATATTAATAGGTTCGCTCGCACGACTAACTAAATGATTCACATTGGCTAATGCTGGTGAACATATACACTTTGTACAGCGGCACAAGTGTATATGTTAATCGACATGATGGTGCAGTGTTGCCATAATAACGACGATCCCGTTGTGCCCTGGTCGGCAGTCGTTGTGCTGCGAGGCGCCGTCGCAATCCAATTCCCTGCGCACGTTTACCGGCACCGCTCAACAGAACAACGCTACGCGGTCAGCTTGACATGTCTGACTATCTTAAGGCTATCTAATCATCATCATCATCATAACGCTATTATTGATAGCAAGACGATGTTTGTTTTCATCATCATCTGAACGCAATCTCATCACACCTTACCTTATTTGAGAAACCACCATAATAACCTAATGGACTGAGGGGAGCCGGCAGGAGTCATTCATTACCGCCAACAAAGGAAAGCCGATAGATAGACTAGGATACCCCAACAGCGTTGTCAGACGGCTAGCACTGCATTACACAATTGGTTTAAGCTGTTCAAACATCAAATGGGTACAGAGTGAAGTGTTCGCGTGTGTTTTATCATCATCATCATCATTGTGAGCCATGGTTTATGCACTGCTGGAATAACGCCTACCCAAGCGGCCGCCACCTTTCACAATCCTACGATGCAATAATCCACTTGGCGCCTGGATACGAACTCGCGAACTCGTAGCGTCGCCGCATTTCCTCGCTGTGCCTCCCACTTGCTTCGTACAGGATGCAGCTTAACAACATCGTTGCCATCAAACTGGACAAACGCCGTGTTGGCCTCCGTTTCATGGGAATCCGCCTCAAGGCCCATTTCCCCATGAAACCAACATGCGGAAAGGAACGAGTATGTGCAGCGATTACAAACAGTGGAGCAATGGAACGAGCGCTGAGCTCCACCATTCATAGGCGGACTGCCGGCCGTGTTTGCGGACCATCGGCCGAATACATCTTCTAGAGCTTTCCACGTGTCCCCCCCCCCCCCCCCCGGCTCGAGACGGCCGTGACCCACCTGTCCGTTGCCAGCTACTCGGGCTTCCCCTTCATCTCGCGGGGCTCGAGAGTGAATGTCTCGTTGTTGACTCTGGCGGCGAAGTGTACGCTCGCCTCTTTGTGGGTCATTAGGCACGCTTTGGTTTTCTTGGGATTGACCTTGCACCTGCATTGCATTTTTTTATTAAAGGATTACCAGGTAGAGTAACGTGTTCTTATTTGTGCCATTTAGAGAGCGGCGATGTTGTATTCTCTTGAAAGGTTTGATTGAATTTTATCTTCAAGAGAGACCTGCTTTCGCACCAAATCACATCTTTAGTACATTTTGTTTTTGGACCACTGTCATAGCTGAAGGTCCAACGTAGTCTGCAGTGGTTCTGCAGCAGCAGGGGTTGATGTTGCGATGTTAGATCCCGGTTGAGTGATTTGGATGTTTCGCCTGTTTGGGAATTATTGTTTTGTGGGCAAGAAACGAGAAAACTGGAACATTAACCACATGTACAAGAGGGGATAACTGAGACGTGACGGCAGGTTTGAGCTAACATTGTTGGTCTGTCTAGATTTTGTGAAAAACTCAGCTCTATTGTATATGTAGCGAGTGAATTACCTGTTTACAAATAAGATGTGGACTTCCGTGCCAAAAACATACCTCTGTGTTGTTGTTGTGAACATTGTTTAAATTATCGGGGTTTCAATTTTCAGTGATTTAGATGTTGGAGTGCACATTTATCATATTTAATAAATATAGACATATTTGATTGATGATTATTATGGTTGTGTTATTTGTAGGCGGTAATACTGATGACACTTGTGTGATTGTAATAATTATGAAGCTGCTAATTGTTTTTCGTGACAACAGCGTTAATGAACCTATTGACAACCCTTCATGACAACAGCTGTAATTGTGGCAGGATGCTGCCGCAGTCGTATCGTGGTGAGCGCACGGGACTTGCAAATCCAGAGGACGCCAGTTCGATTCGACCTCCCGGCACCGGCGTTGAAACCACGATGCACGTTTCTATTCAACTCCACCGCCTCTGTGCGCCCAGCAGTATAAATGGGGACACCGCAGTTATTGCTTTCGCCGGTCCTTGGTGGTGGGGTAAAGTGTGGCTACTCACACCTCTCCAAAGACATCTGGAGATGTTCACTAGAGCTGCCTCGAGTGGAGGCCCTTCCGCCAGCGGTGGCGTGAGCGAGCAATTGAAGGGCTGCGCCTTTACCGTGTTTTGTGCAATGTGTCCGCGATGCAGATGAATCCGAGCGATCTCAGCCCAGCGTCACGTGCTCCTGGAAAGACAGCGTCGTCGTAGCGAGTCCGCTCACCCCGAGCGACAACGGCGGGGTCCTCGGCTTCGACGACGATGGCAGAGCCACTGCCGGCAGAGCTGACGACGATGCCCAGGCCGAAGCCACCTTGAGAGCGAAGATGGAACGATTCTACGGGTCCATCGCTGAGAACGGCAGGGAAGAGGTGCAAGAGTGTCGACGCCAGCAAGACGATCCGCAGGCACCGCAGCGCCCACAGCGGCCGCAGCGTCGGACCCCGCGGCAGCTGGGAGAGCAGCCGCCGTGGCCCGCCATGGAGGAAGGGCCGTACCCCATCCACGCCTGCCCCTGGGCCGAGACGGCACCGGCGGAGGCCGCGCGGGTGCGCTCGGCGCTGCTGGGAGCTGCGGCCGCCCTCGCCTCGACAGGAGATCGTCCGTACGCGCTGCGCTCGGTCGCCATGGCGAGCCTCGTCCTGCGAGCCCACGGCTGTGGCGCCTTCACGACACCGGGGTCGCGCGATCGCGCCGTGCCCGGCCTGGCAGGCCCCGTCGTAGACTGGGTGCTGGGGGTCTTGGCTTCGCGGGGGAGCGGGGATGGGGAGTAGAGGGACGCGTCCCATGGCACACGGGATTAAGGACTGGGTGAGCAGAAAATGTCAAAACTGAAGTATTTTTATTTCACCAGGCAAGGCCCACTGAGCTATATAGCTTCTTTTTCAGATGCGACCTGGCCACAAATAATAGTTCAACGAAGTGGCTTATCACGTGGAAATGTATAGCAGCCAAATACTCTAAACGTATGTTTCTAAATGTGGAGGGGAAAAAACCAGAGGACCTGGAGGGAAATCCACTCGACCACGGGTAGAGAGACAAGCAAACTCCAAATATACAGCAGGCGTCAGGGTTGGGATAGAACCCACGGCCTCCTGTGTACCTGGCGAGGTAGTTAACATCTCGCCACCGTGGCCTGCTTGTATTGTCAAGTTCCCCCTAGATGAGACGAAGCAGCCGAGGTGGAAAAGGAAATGCACACAAAGGGGGTGGCGGCAAGCGAAGATGATGTGATGACGTTGGATTATAACAATTGAGTGAGGTTGGCAGCAGCTGAGTCAGCCTATGGGTAGTCCTGTTCGTATGTATGGCTTTCACCTAGCAGGGCTGAAGAGAAGTGGGAGATAGGTACACAGCTGTCGGCAGTGTTTCTTTACAACCAGGTGAGAACCATTGAGACGGGCGTGCAATTCATCAGAGACCGAGATAATACAATGGAAACGTACTAAATATACAGCACTAATGAAATAAAGTTATTGTATTTTAATATTTACAGTAGCTTTGCATAGTAGCTGCTGGATGGACGCACCCATGTGAGTCATGGGGAGTTGTTTGCCCGGAAATCAGGTCGCAAGTTCGACAAACACTGCGCCACTGCTGCACATTACCCAGTGCACATGGCAGAGTCAGTAATGCCGAGTCAAATGGTAGAATCCTTTGAACAAAGAATACTGTGGTGAAACGACCATTTTTAATCATCATAGTGTATTTTAATAGTTTTGATGTATTTTTAAATAGTTAATGAACTTTTTTACACATTACATTTGTACAAAATTGATAATGATGACGATGAAAATGTATTTCCATAAAGTGTGTAGATGCATGAAGGTTGTGTTAGGTGCCCCATGTAGTTATATTTCAACACGAGTGTGATTTTAAATCTTTGTGCATACCTCCACATTGCGGCCCCCACCTCGACGGACGTCACCTGCCCTGGGATTCCTCGGATGCTCCGAGCTCGGTGCTGACCCTGGTCGCCGACCACGGGAAGCCGATAATGCCACGGGGCAGGCGGCTCACGGCCTCATTTCGTGACCGATACAAAACACGCACCTTGATTTACCGTGAGAGCCGGGCGCTGGTGGAAGAGGCCGGGTGACCCTGATGGATGTCTAATTGCTTCATCGGGTGAACAAGTGGAGCGTGATTGAAATGCTGTCGTGCACCGCCCACACACTCTCCATCGTTGTTCGGTTTTGTGCCGGCAGAAGATAATACCGCTGCAAGCTCTTTTATTGCATTAATGCGACGATTTTAGATAACGTGTTCCAAGTGAAGCAAGCTCTGCATATCTCAGTCGTGGTCGATAATGATGATATTTTTACGATTATATTAATTTTACGGCTGTTACGATGATGTGAATTTGCAGGAAGCGTCCTTTTGCTCGTAATGAATTGATGTAATGTATTTTCCACTGCTTTGTAATGAAATAGCTTCGATTAGCCCAGGCTACACAAAACGCATGTGCGCTGTAATATACATGCATGGCTAAACATGCGCAGTGTCGATGTCTTGTTGGCTACACATATGTTTGGAAATTAATAAATTGATGCATGCATATACACCGTGCATATGTATTCATTTATTGCCTCTAATCCAGTGTGCAGTGTCATTTGGGGGCTGTTATTCATGGGGGGCGCCACGTCGCCAACCGCTGAGCACGGTTGGCCACGTACGCTTCGAAAGAAGTTCAACATGCGGCACATTTATGTCTAGTAGCCCAGGAAGGGCGGGGGGGGGGACTAAAATATGTTGAGCTTAACACGTAGTAGGCTTGCACGATCAATATTATTCATAAAGGTTTGTGGGTTAGATCGTGTAAGTATAAATGTGTCCGAACCCTCCACCACCCGACACAGCCAGTAAGGTTGGTCACGTGACAAACCTTACTGGCTGTGTCGGGTGGAGGAGGGTTACGACGCATTTATACTTACGTGATCTCACCAAAAAACCTTTATTATAAGATATATCGAGTTGGATGAAGATGCTTAGCTCCTGTTTAAAAGTTGGAGGGTGCAGCTTTCCCCCACCTTGCTCTTCCTCGTGTTCCCACAACCATGACCTTATCACCGGGGTAGCAACCCTTCTATTGTGGAGGGCCGATTCAGAAACACCCTCGTGCGGGCCACACATTGATGCACGCAGCTGAGCCACCTCTTGTCATTGCAAGGGGCCTTCGCAGCGACATTAGTAACTTGAGCGTGCCAAACTTCGAACGTGTAGCCAGCTCGAAGAATTTGTCCCGCTAGTATCCGAGTAGTGCGGATAGGTTGCTTGCAGTGACGGATTGTAGCCACGGTGGCTAAAAGATGTTCACTACCTCACCTGGTATACAGGAGGTTGTGGGTTCGATCCCGACCCTGACGCCTGCTGCTGTATATTTGAAGTTTGCATGCTCTGCCCTTGGTTGCGTGGATTTTTCTCCGAGTCCTCCGGTTTTTACGTCCACATTTAGAAACACGCGTTTAAGGTATTTGGCCGTAAAGCATTTCCAGATGATAAGCCACTTCGTTGAGCGATCATTGTGGCCAGGTCACTTCTGAAAAAGATCTGTATAGCTCAGTGGGCCTTATCTGGTAAAATAAAAACTAGTTTAGTTTTAGATTTATCTCATTTACGAGCCGTATGTAAGCGGTAGGCCTCGTGTGACCTCGGGTCGTATGAAACGAAGTCGGGGGCCGCGTTGCAGCTCGTAGATTCCCCGCTACTGTCCTGTCATTGGCGCCCCCCCTCTCCTCCTCCTCCCAGCCCTCACCACCACCACCCTCCACGCCTCCCCCATACCCAGCACCCCCTCGCAGCCCGCCACGCGCCTCCTGTGCGGCCACGTGACCGCGTGTTCGCTCATATAAGCGCGAAGCCGGATCGCGGAGGTTTGCTGCGCTCCACTCATCGCCACCACCACCACCATCAGCAGGCACGCCATCACCGCATCGCCGTCATCCCGCCGCCTTCACCCCGTCTCCATGTAACCTCCACCCAAGCGCAAGTCGTAGCTACGCGCACACGCACACTCACACACACTCACACACGCGCACTCACTCACACACTCTCTCACTGCACAGCGGCAGCCGTGGGTCGGCTCGTCGTGTCGTTGTTGCTACTCTGACGCCCGTGCGTGATGCACCTCGGCGTGCCTGGGGACGGACGAGTCGGAGGAGGAGGAGGCATGGCTCGCTTCGGGAGCAGACGGCCGTGTCGCGACCGACTGCGTGTGTGGCTCTGGCTGGCTCTGCTCGCCTGTGCCTCGCCGGGTAAGATTCGAGCGCTCTCATTCACGATGGTGGGCCGGGGTGAAATTGGAGCATCGTCGGCAAGGCAGATTCATTTTGTTTGATCAACCAGCACATGCATGCATGCAATGCGCGAGTATTAAATGATTTCAAGAATCCGCATGTGTTATGTAACCGTCCGTATCCAAAGCTTGAATTCTCGTTGAATGTGCAACCACCCCCACGGGTCTCTGGTAGACTCGGAGGGAGCGCGTTGACCAATAGCCACAGCCATATAGGTACACTCGATGTGGTGTGCCGGTTGCTGAGTAAATGCTCCTTGTTACTAGGCCCCGATAGAACCAGGTTGACATGAAGAAGCCCTGGTGGTAGCACGAGCCTTCGTGTAACACACGCCTCGCGCTTACCTCGCTAGATCGCCACCCAACTCTTGTGCCGTTCTGAGCTTAATTGGTCCTCGCAAACAGCACTCGGTCTGGCAATCTGTGCAACTTAAACTTGGGTGAATTTGTTTATGTATTGACTTGTCATACGTACGTACGTGCAAATGTATGTGTGTGTGTGCTATTATGTTATATTGCGTAAATGCTAATGCTTTATCTCTTGTCTATCTGATACCTGGCGTTATATTTAGCATAAGCAAAGAGGTTCAAGAGAGGTTTGTCTCACGGTGCCGCTGTAATATAATCCGCCCCCAAGCGCGTGCCTCCAATGTTAAAGGCTCGCGGGTTTCAGCACCACGGACAGCGCCTGCCCGTCCGTGATCGCCAATGAGACTGCACGCGTACAGTCGATGACGATCGCCCGTGTCGCCTGTGTAGACTGTCTGGGAAAAGTTGTGTTTGCGAGCACCTATGAAAGCCGGCACGGCGCACAAGGGGGGTTGGTGTGGGTCCAGTACCGATGTCTACGGCTCACACCATGGTACTCGTTTAAGACTGAGTCGACCGCGTAGAGACCCTTGTACGAGTTTTGCGGGCACGCTCTACCTGTGTTGGCCGAGATCGGGAATGAAACGTGGGTCGCCGGGTTTGTAGCGCCGTGCGCTAACCGCTATGCCACCGAACAAAGATCCCCCGTATAGCCTTAGCAGACTGCTGGGGCAAGTGACGCTCAGCGCCACCAGACCGCACACACACACGCACACACACACGCACACACGTACACACATGCACACACACACACGCGCACACACACGCACACACGCACACACATGCACACACACGCACACACACGCGCACACACACGCACACACATGCACACACACGCACATACACGCGCACACACATGCACACACACGCGCACACACACACACAAGCACACACATGCACACACACGCGCACACACACTCATACACGCACACACGCACACACACGCACACACGCACACACACACGTGCACACACACACGCACACACACGTGCACACACACGCGCACACACACGCGCACACGCACACACACGCGCACACACACGCACACGCACACTATATGCGATGTGTGCTTCGTCCTCGTTGCAGAGTGACTGCCGCTAGCGCCTGGAGCCCGATCCTCGTTTGATAACTCGCGGCTCGTGCCAACGCGGCGACCTTGCGGCGTGAGCACCTCGCCCGCCGTCGCCTCGCCTCGGCGAGAGCTCCATCGCGTTTGTCATTCCGGCTCCACGTCCTCCCGCTGCCATTCAGTCTGTTTACGTTTGATCGCGTGTTGTGAAACATTAGACTTGAACAGATGTAGAAAGCTCGGCGTTATGTGAACCTCTCGGATCCCGAACTCGCCGTGCGCGTGCAGAGCAGCGATTGTCTCCCCGGCGTTACGGAGGTGGGGGGCACGGGGGGGGCACGGGGGGTGGGGGGCACGGGGGTGGGGGCACGGGGTGGGGGACACGGGGTGGGGGACACGGGGGTGGGGGGCACGGGGGGTGGGGGCACGGGGGTGGGGGACACGGGGGTGGGGGACACGGGGGTGGTGGACACGGGGGGGGCACGGGGTGGGGGACACGGGGGGGGCACGGGGGTGGGGGACACGGGGGTGGGGGGCACGGGGGGTGGGGCACTCTGCCCTATGAACTCAGCCGCATGAGTTCCATTCCTGGTCAAGCTCGCACACGATCGGATCGGCGCAGTGAGATCTGAACCATTCCTGAGCCATTCTGCACCCCGCAGGCCGCCCCTCCAGTCCTCCCGCCTCTCCCCTCCCCACCTCTCCAACCCCCTCTCCCACCTTCCCTTCACCCCCCCCCATCTCCGATTATCACGGTTGGCTGTGTACGGTGCGAAAGACGTTCAACATACAATCTGCGTTGACCAGCGTGTTGGTGAAGTAGCGGTCAAATACCGCCCACGTGACCAGCACGGCGTGCATTGACAAGGGGCTATTAATCATGATTATTGTGAGGATGAAAGTGTGACCTTTTCAATGTCGTGGTAGCAATGCCTCAGTGTTGCCTGCGGTGTCGCTGCGTATTCATGACGCAAGGCTGCGCATTGTTCCCCACCAGCGTTCGCCTTCCCTGCACCAAGCAACATCGACACCATCAGCGACAAGGTACGGCCCCCCACGATTTACTGAGACACTGGAATAATAAGCCACAGTGTAATACTCGGTCCCCTTTTGCCTTCGCTAAACAGTGTAAACCCCACTCATATTTTCCAAATAACATTGACGTTGTGCTATTTTTATTAAAAAATTGTCAGAGTTGAAAAAGAGAATTCTATATTTAGATGCTTTATCATTAAACATTTTAATTGAAATCAGTCGCATTTAACATAATTCTGGGTTGTTTAAATGTGGTTATTTGGTGACTAAACTGAAACTATAAACTCAGCACCCTTAAGTGCTCATTTATAATCAGAGGTGGCTGAAACCTGGATTCCAACCCAGGCTCTTCGTGGTGCAAGCGCAGTTCACTCGCTTCTTGTTCGCCGCCTGAGCCACCCAGAGCATATAAGTCACGATGCCACATTCACCTCGACTCCCTCATCATCGTTGTTCGCTCTGCATGCGCATGTCCAGGTTGCTAGCGCACTCGCGCTAAGAACCCGGCCACCTGAGTTCAATTCTCCACCGTGGCGAACTTCAGCGGCGATTATCTGAACCAGTCCTGAGCTTTCTCGAGATGAACTCCACCTTCAACTAGTAGCTGGTGCAGTGTCCAAACATCAGGACTGGGGAGACAAATGCAATCCGGCTTGTATCTGGCCACACCAGACCCCTCGTGTGCAGTATCGGCCTTAATAGGTGTTCGCTCACAGAACTCGCCTCAACAGTCTACGGCGCTGTATACGGGGAATCTTCGTCTTTCTCTTTGTGCCCAGGTGATGACCTGCATGGTTGAGGCTCTGTCAGGTGCTCTCTCAGAAGCCACGCCTCGAGCTCCCAGCGACCGCTGTCTTCGGCTGCTGAGAGAAGGCATGAACCACGGGGCGTGGGGCACGGGACACCTGATGGGGGCTATGGGAAGTTGACAGTGGGGCATGTGGCACTGGGAAAGGATCACTAATCACGGCACGTGGGCAATGATGAGTGAGACGTTTACATGCAAGGGCCTTTGTGACCCCGCTGCCTGATAAGGGTCTGCCCATGCCCTGAATATTGTGTTGAGGTGATTTGACCAGAATTCACCACGCTGCTCAATGTGGGTTAAAAGCATGGACAATATAATATTTGAAGCTTTCGTGACTGCAAGGAAAAACCTAAGAGTATGGACAATATACTTGGGAGCATCGGAATACGTAGCACAATGGATGTTGCTGCAGTATTGTGTATATAATCACCATACACATGCACTCAATCTCTCATCATATCTTGGAAGCTAAGCAAGTTGTGCCTGCTAAGTGCTATGATGGTGGACGGCCTGGAAACGCCACGTGCTGAAGGGTTGGGTTGTGAAATGGCCAAGAGATGGGAGTACAGCAATTGATTCTTAAATCCATCTGTGTTGAGTTTCGAGTAAACATGGGTGTTATCCGATTTGCTCTGGGTTCCTCCCATGTGCCAAACACTCGTTGATAGAACTGGGCAAAACGTGCTAATGCAGGACCCCCTTGAGCAGAAGGGTTTTAAGATTCAGCAAGGCTTTCGTAGGCAAATCCAGGGCATTGTTATCATTGCATAGATCATTGGATAGCAAGCAAGTCATGGGAATTGTGAAACCTGACAGGTCACGAAACGTCAGGGCCGATGACATGGGATGTGGACACCGTGAATTAGGCAGAGGTCAGGGGCCATTCGGGAAGAGATGCAAGGATTGAGATGCGAGATACTGGACATTGGACATTGAATGTGAGAATTATGGGAACGTAACAATATTAAATAGAGCTCGGGGCATCGGATGGGCCAAGCAGTTGACTTGACATGTTGTGCCCCATAGATGGCATCATGCTCTTGGCATTGACCTCTCCTGGATCTGCTCAGTGATGAAGTGTAACCTGGTGATGACTTGGTTGCAGATAAGAGGATAGCTGGCTTGCTGCATCACGAGGGAACTCGCCAGGATGGTGAAGAGGTGGAGAAGAGGAAGGCGTCTTCAGAGGAAGATTCCAAGCCGCAAGAAGATGACCAAACCAAACGCAGCGAGCACGGACACGAGGAGAAAGGGGCGTTGGAGCAGCGCCTGAAGTCCGTCTCAGAAGCACACCATCGCAGCAAGGTTGACGACGACGAAGATAGCAGCACGAAGACAGACAAGGTGAGCGCCGAGGAAGACGATTCGTCAATGAACGCGAAGCAAGGCGATGAAGCTGCAGCTCATGGCGAAGGTAAACATGAAGATGATGATGACGACGACGATGATGACGATGATGTTGACGATGCTCCTGATGCTGATGACGCTGAAGATGACGACACAAAGCAGGAGTCGGCACCCAAGCGCGGCACCGTCCACTCGGCACCGAGCGGCAAGGACTCGGCCTCGCACGAGGCTGGCAGGGGCATGGGGGAGAGCGCAATGGACGGCAAGTCCAGCAAACACAGCACAGCGCACGTGGACTCGAGTCACGGCGACGAAGAACACAACCACGGCAAAGCAGACGATGACGACGACGACGACGATAACGATGACGACGATAACGATGATGATGATGATGAAGACAGAGAAGCCAACGCGTCTGAAGGCGTCGAGCCACCGAGGGCGGCGACGTCCGCGGGGCAGTCCCGGCCCCGGCCCCGGGAGGCGAGCGAGGCCGTGCGGCAGGCCACGGAGGACGTGGAGCGCCAGCTGATGAAGATGAAGCCGCACGACGAGGACGAGGACGACGCGGCGGACGACATCCATCGCAAGCTCGACCTCGACAGCGAAGCTGAAGGCGGCGATGACGACGACGACGACGATGCCGGCGGCCAGGCGCTGGACAAGCGAATGGCCGAGAGTCCGAGCGACGAGAGGACCACGCAGTTCGAATCGGCGGAGCGGAGGCAGCGTGCCGGGAAGATGATCGCGAGGGCCGTGGCCAGATTCCGCTCGGGGCTGCGCGTCTCCTCGACTCAGCCGCACGCCTCCTCGGAGCCTTCCCGTCGCGCCCCCGAGGAACAGCATCGCGATGACGACCATGCAGACAACGACGGCGACGATGATGATGAGGAGGAGGAGGGCGAGGTGAAGAAAGGCTCCGATGCAGATGGAGATGATGGAGAGAAGATGAGTGGAAGAAGCTCTCGGCATGAGGACGATGTCAGCCGGGAAGGAATTGCAGAGGTCAGTTAACTTAATTGACGCTTGCACGTGTCGCACTCTGCATATTTGCGCCATCTGAGTTCGTATCGAGGTGGGGAAATTAAGTTAAGCACGTGATTTACATTTCATGTTATCTTGCCAAAATACCATCTTTGGATTTAACTTTATTGGATTAGTATAGGAATTCGTACATCTCTTTGGAGATGTAATAGAGTGTACTGGTGCAAATTGGGAATTCAATGTCCTCAGCGGGCATTGGCAAGGGTCGGTGTTGTAGCCACATCTCAAATGTGACGCTTGCCCACGACTCTTCCTACATAGAGGAGTTTCGTGTGAAAAAAGCCTCCGATTTCGTATTTTTAAGGACAATTTCTTATTTTGAGGGGATTTTCGTGGAAACAAAAGTGACGTCACCCGATGCCACGTGACTCCAAATTTGGTGGGGAAATGCCCATTTGTGATTTGTGGTGATGCAATACTCTCAGATCAATACGAAACAAAACTATTATGGACTATCCGAAATGTCGCGTCTAGGTGTATTATTTAGGATTAATCCAGAAATGATGAACACATTAAAACTATACTATACTCACAACCTCTTTATTTATCAGGTTAAGCCCACTGAGCTCGTAGCTATTTTTCATAGCTGACCTGGCCACACGTGACGGCTCATCGAGATGGCTTTTATCATCATCATCATCATCATAAACTTCACATGGGGATTTATAGTAGCAGCCAAATAATCTAAACGCACGTTTATACACGTGGTGGGAAAACCCGGAGGACCTGGAGAAAAATCCACGTGACCACGGGGAGAGAGAGAACACACGAAGTCGAAACACACAACAGGCATCTTTAGGATCTGGGATCGAACCTGTGTCCTCCTCCGCGCCTGCGAGGGAGATAACCTCTCGCCACATCGGATGAGTTCAGACGTAACGCAGCACTGATATCAGCCGTGGCCGGGAATCAATCTCAGGTCAGGGTGGAGTAGTCACGTGGCAGTCAGAGCACTGCGCTACGAAGCCGGTGACTGAAGCGATCTTGTGCCTCACCGAGGTCAACTCAGACGTATAATGAGCACCTGGTGTTGTCTACAAACATCTCAACTGCGGAGACGGAGGGGGACTGCGCGTAGATCTGGTCACAGCCCCCCCCCACCCCCTTGCGTCGTGCCGCCCTTCAGAGGTGTACGCGAACAGCACCACCAGCCTGTGCAAGGCTGCCAGGCATCTTTGTTTTGTCCATTGAGTTTGTTTCTTTATCTCAGTTTCTGAGCACAGGCGAAAAGGCCCCAGGGACTAGACTTCCCGCAGCAAACATCACCACTGGAAGCGCAGTAGTTAATGATGACTACAGTGTGTATGTTGAATTGAGCAAGGTTATTGTTGCAAGAACTCGGGAGGGAATTCCAAAGCCGAGCAGTGCGAGATTAGAAGCGGAACGAGAAGTGTCGTGCCCTGCAGTGTGGTGGTGGTGGTGAATCACAATATGGTGGTGGTTAATGACGGTGTGGTGGTGAATCACAGTGTGGTGGTGGATGAGACGACACAGAGCTGTGTCTGGCAGACCGAGCCCTCCACACGGGTGAAGTTCAATGCGGAGGCGTCGCCATGGCGTTGCGGTCGTTGTTGTGGCCGTCCAAGTCAAAATGCGTCGCCTCCCTGTGCGCAGAGGGACGAGCTGGAGGGCATGCAGATGGAGCTGGAGACGATCGCGCACAAGCTCCTGCAGCTGAAGCGGCGCGGATGACGGCGCCGCGGGCACGCAGCTCGCTCGGCAGGGCGGTGTTGGTCTCTGCACGAGCACCGGTGGTCCCAGGGATTCGTCTCTCGCCCAAAATTGTCCAGGGCCCTTCTGAGCACCGCCGCCCGGCCATCCGCCCTCCGCCACGGTCGCGATGAGATGTTAACTCCCTCGCCTGGTATACAGGAGGTCGTGGGTTCTATCCCAACCCTGACGCCCGTGTATTTGGAGTTTGCTTGTCTCTCTTCCCGTGGTCGTGTGGATTTCCCTCCGGTTCCCCCACTCCACATTTAGAATGAACATGGCGCGTTCAGAGTATTTGGCTGCTATAAATTCCCACGTCATGGCAAGCCACTTCGTTGAGCTATCATTTGTGTTAGCCGGGTCACTTCTGAAAAAGAGCCGCATATCTCAGTGGGCCCTACCTGGTAGAATACTTTAACAAATAGTGCCAGTTTCTGTTCTGCCCCCTTGACAGCCGTTTTCACGACCGGTTGTCAATGGGGAAGTGATGGGAGCTGGGGTGCGGGGTGGGGGGGCAAATCTATGTTCTGGACCTCCGACCCGTAACGCTGCGGCTAAAGTGACCCCCCCCCCCCCGGGTGCGGCCGCTAACTCCAAGCGGCGCCCGAGAGAGGAGCGCGCCGGGGGCTCGGGGCTCGGGGGGAGGAGGGAGGGGGGAGGGGCTCGGCACCCAACACCAGACGCGGGCGTTGCCGCGAGGTCAGATGCGACGTCAAATTGGCGATGCGGCGATCATCATCATTGCGATATCAGCTTCCCATAAGCTTGTGATTGTGTTTCACCATTACTATCGCTCTGCTTTTGTAGTGTGCTGTAGTTAAGGTACAACTCAAGATCACTGTAGGGTTCGTTAACGGTAGTTAACTCAATATTAGCCTGCCCGAATTAGTCCTATAATCTAGCAGGCGCCTCGATGTCAGTTACACAACATTACTTAAACAATTCGAGGAACTAAGGAAAACAAATCGACAGCGATGTTATACGATCGCCAATCTGCCAATTCCTAAAAAAAAATATTTTGCAAAGCTATTATTTAATGGAAAATGTAATGGATAGTCATATTTCTATTTTAAAAGTTTGATTATTGAGGGTAATTTTATTATATTTCACAATTGTTCAGGAAATCGACAAATGTAACCACACACAAAAATCGGGAGCGCTGATAATCGCGATATAACGATATTTAGCAAAAACAAAGTGTGCGGGGTGCAACTACGGTGGATCTTGTGTGGTACGTAGCGTCCATCCCAGCGTGGCGGGGCCGCGGCAAATCTTAGCCACGTGAGGCCACGCGGGGCCACACGAGGTCACGTGAGGTCACGTGGGGCCACGTGGGGCCACGTGGGACCCATGAGGCCACGCGGGGCCACGTGGGGCCACGTGAGGCCACGAGAGGTCACGGGCGTCCTCTGGGCCACACGCTTCTTGACGCCGCCGAAACGCAGCTTGCGCATTCCTTAATCAATGCACATATATATATACTATCACTATTGCCGGAAAGAGATAAATAAAAGAAGAAAAAACACATAAGCAATTATTTATAGAATCGATAGTTATATTTTAAAGAAAAAAAACCTGAATGTACGCTACCTATATATTACCTGAGCGCTTTGCTGTGGCATTAAACATTGATGCGGAAGAACGCGGGAGTGGTTTTGTCTGAGAGCGGTGACAGCCGCCTGCAGTTGCTCTACAACAGTGGCATGCGCTCGGAACAATCTTCCACTCTCGCTGCGGTGGAACTCCCGCCATGACCGCAAAGCTGGGGTTGCCACCTCTACGGTTCAACAACAAAATAACCGGAGGCCCATCGCGAGAAGAGTGATGAATAGTTGACAATACTGGACGAGGGGAGAACTCCGGGTACCTTACTGCGTTGTCTTGAGTGGGGCACTGTTACATAAGCGGGAAGGATTTCTCCACAAGATAATGAATGTTCCTGGGTAAATCCAGAGAGGTGGCAACCCAGCTACCATGAGCCGACTTTGTGTACTGCTGAAGAACCATTCCACGCTGACGCTGCTGCGCCACACTAGGAATGTCGTTGTTGTGATCATTGTGGCCCGCCATTTTCGATCCACTGCTAGATGAAGGTCCCTGCTATGGTGGCGTGAGCTCTAGCTGGGCTATGAAGTGTGGCCCTCTCTGCTGAATGCGTATCGCTCTTTCTCGCCTTGATCACCCCCTCGAATTCTCTCCGTCAGCCACTATTTTTATTCTCTGCGTTTGACCTCCTAACCACTCGCCTGGCTGCTGTTTACAGCAGGGACAATGCTCTGTCCCAGTCTACGCTCGGGCCTGGCGAGAGCGAGCCTCGACCTCGACGTTGACATTCAGCAGAGACCACGCGGCCCACAGTTTGTGTCCCTTCTGCATTGAAAACTTCCACACAAAGAACGCGTTTGCCAAGGAAACCTTCCGATCGCTCACAGCCCCAATGCCTTTTGGTAAATTAGTCGAACACAGCGGTGCCTCTGTTTCATTTAAATCAACTCCGCGTTCTCTGTGTTCTCATCCGCTGGGAGACGCAATGCGTCGAGAGACACCGTTAATTAGACGAGAAATAACCCCCTCCCCCAAACAATCATACAATTTAATTTGCACTGCATTGTATGATTGTATATTCAGCCATACGCATGCACCCTGGTGTAAATGCAGCATTTCCATCTGCACCTTACTGGGAATGCTGCTCAGCTGTACAACCAGCGCCCTCTTGGAAAGTCGCGTGCGGGTGTCGCTTCGCCGTCGACGTGGAGCGCGCACGTCGCCACGTGGCGCAGCTCATGTGCGGCGATGACGCGTGGCGCTCCATCCTCGCAATCCGGGTGAGCTGGAGCGTGCCCGGCTGAACCCTCGCTACGACTCGCTTAGGGTGCGTTTTACTGCCGTGTGACAGCCACGTTGTGAATTCTGTTCACCTCGTTTTATTCCTCTGCCTAGAAGCAGGCATCGCCGTCGTGTTTGCGCTCCTTCTCTGTTAGCTGTAAGACAATCACACACGCAGCGTCATCAGCTGGTGACGCGGGGTTCCCTTTCGATGATATCGCTTCAAGTGGAATGTTCGCACGTGGAGTCCGTGACTCGCACGTGGACACACACAGCGCCAGACATCCCGCCGGTCCGCCACCACTCGAGTCGTCAATGCTCGAGCGGTGCCCTTTGCTTTGTGAGTGCACAGCGCTCGTGTCGACTCACTGCTGGGTGGGGCTCTCACGACACCGTGCGCGAGGTGGGGGGTCATCGAGCCGTACTTCACCACGCTGCTCGGTGCGGGGTGGTGCCAGAGGAGGGCATTCGACGTGGACACGCAGCAGTGCAGACCCACACAGGTTTAGCGTCACTCTCCCCTCGACTGACTGCCACGGAGCCGCGCAGCCTATAACACCTGCTATTCACAGCGGTCACCCATCCAACAATGCCCGGTGCACAAGCCCCACTTAGCCTCACAATGCGGCCTGATTTGGCCAGAGACTGCAATTATTGACACTGTCAGGATGAACGCAATAAGCTTCTCAACTGAGTCTCTCGTAGCATCGTGTCACTTTAATTGGCTCCCACCGGGTCGTCACCTCGGGTGGTACCGAAGGGCGCTCCAGCCCAGCAGGACCCACGTGGACAGCCCCGTGCAGCACTGACGCTACAGACAACGCACAGACCAAGGCTGAGTTCAAGATGCAAAGTCAGATGTGAACCCGACACACGCCCACACGCACACATATATATATTCGATGCATATATCTTGATTTTAATCTTTCCTCGTTTTACTTCCCTTGTGCCATTTGAGGAATAAACATTAGCCACGGTTCTTGTTCGTCAATGTCATATTGCATTCCGGGTTTGAGACGTGACATTGATAGCACCGAGTCACAGGGCTGGACTGGACTGGTCGTCCAGAGAGGTCGTCGGTTCGATTTGACCTCCCGGTGCGGCAGCTGAAATAATCGGGCAGGGATTATGAATCCCCCCACTCTCGACATCTAAAGTGTGGTGGGGTAAAGTGTGGGTACTCCCAGACATCTCACCAGTGTGGAAGCGCCACGGTGGCTAGGAGATGTTAGCTACCTCGCCTGGTGTGCAGGAGGTCGTGGGTTCGATCCCGACCCTGACGCCTGCTGCTATATATTTGGAGTTTGCGTGTCTCTCTCTCTCTGTGGCCGCGTGGATTTGTTTCCGGATCATCCGGGGTTTCCGCTCCACATTTGGAAACACGCGTTTAGAGTATTTGGCAGCTATAAATGTCCACGTGATAGCCCACTTCGTTTAGCTCCTGAAGAAGAGCGCGATATCGCTCGGTGGGTCTTACATGCTAAAATACATTTTATTAAACTCTTAGCAGTATTTAGTGCGGTTTTATTCATACCATGGTGGTCAGATGCAAACTAATGAACGTGTGCTTCGTTTTTTTGGGTAAATTCAGTTTCTCTTTCATGCAGCAATCACCAAATATGGATTCCAAGCGTGACCTTCGTGAAAAATAACTTTCAGACTAAAATCCAAACTCTCCTGGATAAGTGATGCACACACACCGCTTTAAACATAAGCACGCAGCTGGCTCTGATCCCACGAGCTTTTCTCACAGCCAGATTCCAACTGCTGCATTAAATGCCCACGCTGAGACAAAGACAACGATCCCCCGTATAGCCTGCAACAGACTGTTGGGGCAAGTGCGAGCACCTATGAAGACCGGCACAGCACACGAGGGGGGGGGGGGGTGGGTGGCCAACACCACGCCCGGTCGCCTTCGTCTCCCCAGCGGCGATGTTTACTACACCGCACCAGGTACTCATTTGAGGCTCAGTCGACCTAGGGGAGACCCAGGACCGGTTCAGATAATCGTCACTGTTGTTAGCCGTGAGTGGAAATCGAACCCGGGACGCCAGGTTCGTCGCGCACTGCGCTAACCACTACACTACCGCTCCCCACCACGCTGAGACAGACACACACACACACATGTTATGCGTGTAAGCATGAGCAGACACATTCATCAGGCAGCTCAGCACAATTTATTATTCAAACGACAACACAGATTGCGTGCCCAGATGCGGCGAATGAGATCTGCGCCAACAGAACGACAACACGAGCGAGAAGTGGGAGATGTTAAAGTCAGTGTCAGCTTGATGTGCTTATCCAAAGCACCGTCAGGTCTCGTTACCATCGATGATGTAAGCGACTGTCATTGCGCAAAGAAGCGGGCTGAATGGGGGTGCTCTCTGAGCTCGAGACGGAAGAAGGCTGCGGTGGTCGCGATGGATGAGACGGGGTTGGAGAGGCGAGGTGTCAGAATGAATTTGAAATCTCCCAGAGCCACGCAATCTGTCTCCCCACTCACCAACTCCTTCCCTGCCTCTCTCCATCGCACACCCAGCTCCGAAACGTACACGCGTTATGTGCGATTTTATTATAATTTATGTCGATGCCACATTTTAATACTGGCGAAAGGTATTTAATTCATGGCCCAAAAAGGTGACGTAGAAAATAATTGTGCATGTATAATTCTTGTATGTACTGTATGTTAGTATGGGATGCATGTGTGTAGATATGTGTGTTGGTATAATTGTTCATATGTACATTACGTATATATGTAGGAGTGTATAATATACAAACTTGGCAGGTGGGTATGTTGATGGGCAGGTGGGGAAGAGGTAGGTGGGTGAGTTGGTAGGTGAGCAGATACAGGACGGCTGTATGAGTCGGAAGGTCGGGGGAGATGTAGGGGGGTGGGCAATGCTGTACAGGACGGCACGGCCATCATCGCATTGTCCACACGCAAGTGCTGTCTACTCAATTTGTCCAATATGTAAATTGGGGCTTTCGCAATCTTTGTGTGACGACACAGTGGCTACCAGCGCTGTCATTGCCACGTGGCACTGACCCATCGGGTCTTAGACAGCGGCGAGTCGTTAGTTCCACCACATCTGAACCCGACGCTGATCGTGACCCACGTGATGAAGCTGATCATCTGGTAACGCCCTCCGCATTGGCAGCGGTGCAAAAGCACAAATCGCAGAACAACAACAAAAACCCAACACGGGCACCGAAGAAGGGCCATCGCCCGAAACGTCACCTATAATATACCTCCATTATAAGGGCCACGATGCTAGTGACAAACGCGTTGAGTGTGTTGGTTTTCGTGTGCGCGCGTGTGATCCGCAAGAGGCGGTGGGTGGGCAGTTGCACTGCGCACGCTCGCCCATTCACTCCCTCGCTGTTGATTCACAATCTGCCGCCGGGCACCTGGTGCAGGTGCCACGTGACACCTGGTGTAGGTGTCACGTGGCACCACGAGGTTGGTGGAGCTCGTGGCGCGTCTCCCCACGCGCTCTCCTGTGGGGGGTCTCGTGCTCGCGAATATCACTCAACGCCAGCTGCCCAAGCCAGGCTGTATAAAAGTGTGTGTGTGTAGGTCTCTGGCGTGCGCGTGTGTGCATGTGTGTGCGCATGTGTGTGTGCGCGTGCGCGTGTGTGCATGTGTGTGTGTACGTGTGTGCGCGTGCGTGAGTGCGCCACGCCGCGTGTGACGCCGCAGGAGAGAGGGGTTCGGGTGTTCTCGCTCGCGGGCCTGCGGCTCACAGCTCGTCCTTGGCGAGCTTCAGCACGCGCTTCATTGAGTCGAGCAGCACGGTCTCGTCCCCGGCCTGGTACGCGTACAGGTGGTTGGAGTAGCGCCCCGTCACGTCCGCTCGCACCTTGCGGCCCGGGTCTGTGTGGCGATAGCAGCAGCAGCAGCAGAAGCAGCAGCGGCAGCAGCAGAAGCAGCAGCGGCAGCAGCAGAAGCAGCAGAAGCAGCAGCAGAAGCAGCAGAAGCAGCAGAAGCAGCAGCGGCAGAAGCAGCAGCGGCAGCAGAAGCAGCAGCAGCAGAAGCAGCAGCAGCAGCAGAAGCAGCAGCGGTGCCGGCGGCATTAGCGACAGTGCTTAGCAGCGGTGTTGGTGCCAGTCTCGTTCGTAATGGCTAAGCCATAGAACGAAGAGGGTCGGTGCATCATCGCGCGCCTTCAGATGCGCTTCTGCGGCCGTCTGTAACGCTCTTCCTTACGATATTAGAAAGCCACTGGAGCTATGCACTTTTAAATCATCTAGATTACAAACTAATTTCTTTGGAACCGCCTTTTGTGTTTAGTTTATTGTCCTTCCCCCGCACCTCCGATCAGCACGGTTGGCTACGTACGGTGCGAAAGAAGTCAAGCGTACGTACATAACACTCGAAGCGGTGTCAGTGTCGTCTCATTGGCAAAAGCGCCAGCAGCAGTGGCAGTGTCAGTAGCAGTGGCATTCGCTTGGATCGACTGAAGCAGTCATCTTGTGAATTTGGTATTCGCGGCATCCTCACAGCGCCGAGGCTGTCACGGGAGCGCTGTGATTCACAGGCGGGTGGAGTCTGCCCAGTGGGGAGTGGGGGGCAATGTGGCTGTGCGGGTTTTCTCAATGAAAGTCATCCGTGGGGTCATTTTCACGTCGGCTAAGTTGGACTGTGACACTTGCATAACGTCACGGGATCATTAACCTCCACATGTCAGCAGACGGTGTTCAGTTTTTTATGGTAAATGCGTCCGTAGTATTAACCAGGGCTGCTGCTGGGCTCGAACCACAAACTCACTCGAAGAACCCCAACCAACTGAGCCACCTCATAGCCATATTCGTTGAGTCGCAAACAACGAAAACTAAAATGACTCCTGACGCATGAATCCCTATTTGCACACAGACACGTGCGGCGACTGTCCCCACCAGCCAGAAGGGAACCGTGGAGCCGATAACGACGACTCGGTGGCCCGGATTCACAAACACGGAGGAGGAGGCATCGACACAGTCGCGATGCCACCGCTACCCCTGGCGCAACTATCCAGGCTCAGCCACCTCGATGTACAAACAATCACAGCCGCTGCTCTCCGTCAACACGAGCCGTGCGAGGGAATAAGAATACCAAGTCTCTGTGAGCGCCGCTGACGACAGGCAGATTGTCGTGGTGCGGAGGGCGGGAATGTCGCGGTTCGCCTGCGCCGCTACGAACCCGGCGGCCTGAGTTCAATTCCCGCTCACGGCCACCAACACCAGCGACGAATATCTGAGCCGGTGTTGGGCCTCCCCTAGGTCGACTCAGCCTCAAATGAGTACCTGGTGCGGTGGGTAAACATCGCCACTGGGGAGACGAAGGCGGCCGGGCGTGGTGCTGGCCACTCAGCCCCATGTGCTGCTGCTACTCGCTCACGACACTCGCCCCGTGTCGCCGGTTCGAGGCGGCACGAGACCGAGCGGCGTATTTGTGCTGCGGCGTTGAATGGTGGGCGGCGCATGACAAGCCCCGGGACATTCTCAAGGACAATTCTCACGGACGGCATTCCCCAATGATGCTAGTGCGGCAACGTGGAATGCGATATGCATGCGTCGTGTGCACTTACCAACAAACATGATCCTGGGGTAGTAGTAGCCGTCTGGAGCCATGTTCTTGTCTGTTGTCTCAGTCTGTTGGGATCGAGCACCCACACACAGATACACATGTTATACACATGCTATACACATGTTATACACATGTACCCCAAGTGACTGAAATAATCATCATCATGTTGTCTCAGGCTGCTGGGATAACACACGCGCACAGATACACATGTTATACACATGTTATACACATGTTATACACATGTACCCCAAGTGACAGCGAATTATCATCATGCTGTCTTAATCTGCCTGCATCGCACAACGACAAAGATTCCCCGTATAGCCTTCAGCAGGCTGTTGGGGGAAGTGCTGTCAGCCAGCACCTGTGAAGGGCGACACGGCACACGAAGGGGGGAGGGGGGGGGTGCACAAATATTGTTCGCTCCCTTAGGGGCCAGGACCACATGAGGTGCTAAGCATGGTGGTGGTGGTGAGTGCGGTGGTGGTGAGTGCGGTGGTGGTGAGTGCGGTGGTGAGTGTGGTGAGTGTGGTGGTGGTGGTGAGTGCGGTGGTGAGTGTGGTGGTGAGTGTGGTGGTGATGGTGGTGAGTGTGGTGGTGGTGGTGGTGAGTGCAGTGGTGGTGGTGAGTGCGGTGGTGAGTGCGGTGGTGGTGGTGGTGAGTGCGGTGGTGGTGAGTGCAGTGGTGGTGGTGAGTGCAGTGGTGGTGGTGGTGAGTGCAGTGGTGGTGGTGAGTGGTGAGTGCGGTGGTGAGTGCGGTGGTGGTGGTGGTGAGTACGGTGGTGGTGTGTGGTGAGCGTGATGGTCAGCGTGGTGGTGGTGAGAGTGGTGCCGAGCACTTTGGCAGTGAGCAGAGTGGTGGATAGTGTGGTGGTGACTGTGGTGGTGAGCGTCGTGAGGATGGTGAGCGTGGTGGTGGTGGTGGTGATGAACATAGTAGTGAGGGTGGTGGTGAGCGTGATGGTGGTGGTCAGCGTGGTTGTGAGTGTGGTGGTGGTGAGTGTGGTGGTGGTGAGTGTGGTGGTGAGTGTGGTGGTGGTGAGTGTGGTGGTCAGCGTGGTTGTGAGTGTGGTGGTGGTGAGTGTGGTGGTGGTGAATGTGGTGGTGAGTGTGGTGGTGGTGAGTGTGGTGGTCAGCGTGGTGGTGACTCTGGTGGTCAGCGTGATTGTGAGCGTGGTGGTGGTGGTGAGCGTGGTGGTGGCGAGTGTGGTCAGCGTGGTGGTGAGGGTGGTGGTGGTGGTGAGTGTGGTGGTGGTGGTGGTGAGTGTGGTGGTGGTGAGTGTGGTGGTGGTGATTGTGAGCGTGGTGGTGGTGGTTGTGAGTGTGGTGGTGGTGAGTGTGGTGGTAGTGGTGGTGAGGGTGGTGGTGAGTGTGGTGGTGGTGGTTGTGAGCGTACCTGCAGGTTCAGCATGACAAAGTCGTTCTGCGCCAGCTGCTGGAGGTCTTTGTCCTGAGCGAATGTGGCTCTCAGAGCTGGTGACAGTGACACGGCAGCCATTAGTGAATGTGTCTCTCAGAGATGGTGACAGTCACACGGCTACCATTAGTGAATGTGTCTCTCAGAGCTGGTGACAGTCACACGACAGCCGCTAGCGACGCTCGGCGCGAGCTTCCCCGTGCATCCCACGCCAAGGTTGGCAGCGCGGTCAACGTGAGCTCACCACCACAATCACAGACGCCCCACGACACATCCATGGACGTTGTTTTACTTAACGCACGAGCAGGGGAGAGAGCGCATCTACACCACGCGTATCTTTTGCAAGGACAACCTGGGATGTCTTTCAGTTTGTTGTCCTGTCCCCGCAACTCCGATTAGCATTGTTGGCTACGTACGGTGTGAAATAAGTCAAACGGATCTCCAGGTGTGGCAGCTGCCCATTGCTGGTGCACGGTCACAGTGGCGGTGCCAACCCATCGGGTGGCCCCCAGCAAAAATCACATTTGGGTTGAACCCCTTCGTTCTCTTTATACGATCCGAGTGAGATGTGAGAAGAGATCGAGGCGAGGTACAGACGTGGTGAGAGATACGAGAGAAGTGTAGACGTAGAGACGCATTCCGCAGCGTGAGAAGATGCAGACAGGAGACAGACGCACGATATCAAGGAGCGGTTTCTACGTCATTCAGCTTGCCACGTTTAATCGGCTCTCAATATGAGCTGACATATTTCAATCAATAAAATCTCAATTTCGTCCGTCAATTCGGGGGCCCCTTCAACTGCTTGGGGCTCCTGAGCTGTCGCCCAGCTCGTCGCCGCGTTCACCTGTGGAGTAGGGACACTCCTCCAGCCAGAAGATGACCATGAGGGGCTTCCTGTCCGTCATGGACTTCTTGAGCCCTTCCTCGTACGTCTGCACCCAGTTGATGGAGTCGCCCCAGCCGCTGCTCAGCGTCTTCGTCACTTGGACTTTCTTGGCTTCTTGAGCAGTCGCCACCACGGCGAGCGTGAGCACCGCGCACAGAACCTGGACCTTCATGTCTGCTTGGGAAAAAAACTTCAAAGCGCTGTCTCACTTTGCCCGAGTGCGTGTGAGTGTGTGTACACGTGTGGCGAGTGGTCTGCGTGTTGCGATGTACGCGTGGTTGCACGTTTCAGCGCCGTGTGTGCTTTGTTGATCCGAGGGAGCTTGAACGATGTACCGGCTTCAATATATAGCGCCCCTTCGTTAGGGCTCCGTTGGGATGAGTTGGTTGACCGATCGGGGGGAGCGGGGGGGGGGGTGACGGAGCTGTCCAATAGGCGAGTGCCCAGTTGGCACTGGGTACTGGGCAGGGCCCCCCCTTCTCTTGCTCCGTCTGGGCCAATGGCTGAATGCCCAGTAGCGGGGGGCTCCCCGGAACCCGGGGCCCATCAGGAAGCCCTCTCACCCAGGCGAGGGCCCTTGAAGCCATTAGGCCTAATGGCTTGGAGAGGGCTCTCCAACTACTGGGCCAGTGGGGGGGGGGGGGGTGAGCCATTCATGAGTGAGTTGTTGTCACTGTGTGTCACTGTGTGTCACTGTGTGTCACTGTGTGTAACAACTCACCCTCAAGAGTGAGTGCCGCACTACGCTACTAACCTGGCCACCTCAATTCGATTCCCCGATCATTGCTAACATTGGTGGTAAGCATCCGATTTTGGACTGCCCCTCTGCTCGGTCGACTCCGCAATGTATTAGTACCGAGTGCGGGTGTGTACACATCAGCAGTGGGGAGACAAAGGCAGCCGGGCATGGTGTTTACCACACCACCCTCTCGTGCGCTGTGTTGGCCTTCATAAGTGTTCGCTAACAGGACTTACTCCAACAGTGTAAGTAGGGCGACGCCAGGGGATCACTGTCGCTGTGTAACATGCAATGGAAGTCCTCTGATCCGTGGCCCCATTAGCCCACCTCTCCAATTATCTGCATAATGGGATCTCTTGCAGAGCAGTGCAAAGCCTCCGTATTCGAGAGCAGCCTAAGGAAGCAGACACCAGAGAGCTACCTCTGAAATGACTTTAATTTACATTTGCTCGACACAGAATGACAGTCAAGGACAGTCAAACCAATATTTTACATTTTTAGAGTGGGAAATGTTGATGTTATTACACGCAGGAGAGTTATTCCCATTGCTGTAAGCGGATTTATTTTCACAAAGAGGATTTTTTTTTGCAATGACTGTAATGGCAAAGTTAGGCGTTTCACATTTATTCACAGAAAAAAAACACCGAAATGTTTTACCGTGGAAGCATCTCTATCACATCGTCCTTGTGCAAATAAAAAGTCACCGTGAAATGACAGCGAATGAAAGAAGCCATACGCGGTTATCGCCAGAGAAGTGCACGGATTTCATGAGCTAATTGCCTTTGACTGAACGCGTTCGATATTGTCCTATTACATTTTTACTCTTGGTCATGGATACAGACACGGGAATTTGTTTAAAATAAATTACTATTGGTAGCTATGTGATTGGATGAATAATAGCTTCGGATTTTTTTTCAGTGGTCTTTTAAATCTTTGATAATATATATTTACGATAAGTAATAGAGTAATAAAACTGGATTTTCGCTTGTAATTGTAGATGAGTTTATTTCACTGGAGCAATATCAATTAACCATTGTATAAATAAAGCATGCACACAACACACATCTTAAAGCTATAATTGCTTTAAGTAGGTAACAACGTGGCGATTATAAACCCTTTTAAATAAAATGTCCTTTGGTGATTGAATCCCGAATCTCGTGGACATTTTGAGCGTAGCTGACCGACGCGCGTGTGGACTGGAAGGCGTCCTCTGCTTGTGATGGACGCGTCCACTTGACACTTCGCTGGGGTTTCACGAGAAGTGCCCACAGGTCGACGCTTGACTCGCGACATCCTGATTGCATGCGGGGTGCGAAGGGGCCTCAAGTTGATGGTGGGCGGCAGGTGCACCCTCGACTCCAGCAGCAGCTGGTCAAGAGTGGGTCCCGTCCGCTCGCAAGAGGGGGTTGAGATTTGTTTTCTAGAGAGGGTCTGAATTAAAATCAAAATCGGTGAGCAAATAGAGAAAAATATAATGGTGTTCATATATCCCACGATTAAAACGCGGTTTTTGCCATAAAGTAGCAATGCTATGAAGTTAAGTTATTTTCTTGAACGTATTATTATTTTTTTGCATACGTACCGGAATGAGAAGTTACCGAGAAGTTTTTCAAATGTGTATTAGTCGCTGTCACGTCATCGCTTGCGATAACGCACGACTCGTGGCACGCGTGAAAAATAGGAATAGGTTGTCGCCTTCCGGGCAATAAAACAGCAGGTGTTAACATGTACACACACCAAATAGAAACCTTTCTCAAGGAACCAAGCACTGCATTAACTACACACGGTAGTTGGGAACCAAGCACTGCATTAACTACACACGGTAGTTGGGAACCAAGCACTGAATTAACTACACACGGTAGTTGGGAATCAAGCACTGAATTGACTACACACGGTAGTTGGGAACTGGCAAACAAAGATCCCGTGGTGGTGGCACGACTCAGGACACGTGTCCGTATCAATTCCCCTCCACATATTTCCCACGTGTCTCTTTTCTTGAGACGTGATCAAGAAGACGCTGCAGACAATTCAGATTCTCGTTTCAATCGTGTAACTTCAGTCCAGAGAACGGTGCTCGTGAATGAGCGGTGCTGTTGGCACAAGAGTGCAATTCGCGTAGTCCGCTGTAAAAAAGTGCGACAAATGCATTTGAAGGCAGCACTCATTGCACACACAAAGTGCTTGCCACAAATGAACCACAAACACCTCGCTGGTCTCAAGGAGAAAAAACCATCACGCGAATTTCGATCTTCGCAGCGACTTTTGGCGAAGCCATCGAACAAAACGGCCGCAGAAGCGCATCTGAAAGCGCGCGAGTTCGAGTCCAGGCCATTGCTCGCGTTAGTGGCAGGCGATATCAGCAGGGCCGGATTAAGTTGGATGGGGCCCCAATGTTGCTGGGTTTTTTTAGGGGGGGGGGGGGGAGCCTCTCTGTGTATAATCAATTCCTTGCTCTAACTGTTTCATCACCACCAGCCGTGCCCAATGCCAAACACCCCATGGTTATGTAGCACGGCCATGTCAGTGCCGGCTTGAACACGTGGTGTGTATACCACTCGTAGCGATAAACCACCGTGAAAAACGAACGAGCGATTTTAATGCCGGACACTGCTTGGTCGTAATACACATTGTGATGAAATGGCTATAATTACCACATTAGTACACGATGGGATTCATCACAGTGATTCAGTATTGCATTTAAACCACTAAGCGGTGCTGGGGGGAGGGGGGAGAACACTTACATGCCAAGGCTGTTGGGCTGCAGCACCTAAAGCTAAATCTCCTGCGCCAAACCGGGCCTGGTCTGGGTTAGCAGCCCGCTTTCACTCAATGGCACTACCACCCAGCGCAGTGAAGTCTGGTCGAATAACTCACAGCGTGACCAACGCGACGTGGGGGGAGGCTTTAATTCGATCAGTGGAATATTGACAAATGATGAAAACAATTATATTTACGATTTTTTGTTCTCAAAAAAGCTCTTTGGCGGACGAATGCCTCAAACCACAGCGATTTTTGGCCCAATTTATCCGTCAACGTGGCCACTTTACCTGTCACACACACAACAAGGCAGCATTTCATTCACACATGAAGGCCTCAACACTCATTTGCAGAAGGGTCATGCTTTGCGATTTTGGCACGTGAGTGGAAATGGGAGAAAATTCAGACATAGGAGGGAATAACATTACAGGTTTCCTCTCAAAGTGGGAGTCTAAAGCAGGGTCAATCTCCGTGTGATGCAGCAACCCTTCCTTTGGCTGTTGGGGCCTCAGATCCAGAGCTTGGCCTCAGACATCCTTCTTCCACAGACCAAACTCAGACGTATTCCTCTCAGTCAGCCGATGTCCATCAAACCTATGCACTATCACTAATTGTCCTGGCCAAACCTGGACAGGTGGCAACCTTGGTCTGAACAACGACGGCTGTGTGTGAATGCCGGGGATGTGAGGAGAGGTTGACACAGCGCACGCGTGCTGCCCCCTTCTGCCTCCTCCCGGCTCTGCAGAGCCACGTGCTCGCTCTGCGCGGCGGCCACGTGGGGGGTGGGGGTGATGACAGGCGCAGTGATGCGACGTTTGCTGATTCAGCACGAGCGCAATGCCGTGCCACCGCTCTCGAGCCAATCGTCGTCCCGTGCTCCACATCGAGTGTTTTCCACTGCCAGCATCGTCGTCATCGTCAGTCAGTGTTAAGCATGATCGTGTTACCGTAGTAGTCTTTGGGTCTTTCGGTCTTTTATTATTTTATTGTTATTATCTTTTCTTCTATCTACGTGACTTTACCGAAAGAACCAAAACATATGAGTCCCTGCAGTCACGAAAGCTTTAAGTCAACATTGTATTACCATCATTATTTATCACAATAAATAATCGTCATCATTGAACATCATTCATCAATCATCAATAATGTATAATCATCGATCCATAATTACTGCAACAATCACTAACATAATCTTTAATTTACATAATCACCACAAACATCACCATTATCAAGTGCTACCACGACCTAACACGGCCTACCATTATCAGCACCACCACCACCATCAAACACTATCAGCAACACCACTTGCTAGCATAAGTATCGTCACCAAAAAACTTCAACCAATACGCCAACATTATATATTCCCAACACCCTCAGCACCATCATCAACACCACCATCATTATCGCCATCATCAATAACCACCACCACCATCACTGCCATAACACCAGCACAATTATTGCCATTATCAACAGCACCATCATCATTTCCACCATCAATACGACCACCACCAGCACCATGTCTGCCACTGTAATCGCTGTTGTGCTTACATCTGCCTCGGTGTCTAGTGACGCACAAGGTCCCTTGTGAACAATTCCCCTCGTGTGTAATGCTCAGTGTCGTCAAATGTCCAGATCCTTCCATCACAGACATTGCCCTGCTGCCACCCTCGTTTCATTTGGGAAACAAATACTCAGTGATGCTCCATAGGTTCACTTTCCGATTGGGTTAAAACAAAACAGGACTACAGTGGGAATAATTACATGGCACAAATTCAGTGGCGGCTCGTCAATAGAGGGCGCAGGGGCGCCGCCCCCATCAATATTCCAGAAATATACATATA